CAATAAGTTATTATGTTCGCATCTCTGTATCTGTAAGGTGGGTTGCTTCACAGCACTTATGCATCATAGGGCCCATTGTGCATCCACCAGGGGCATATAAAACTTGTCTACTAATTTGTCGCTGAGAGGTAACAGCTAACTTTTCAAGTCCTGCAGGTTATCAACTCGTCAAAAACCCGCTGGTTGTTGCTTCTGGGTGTCTAGGGATAGCCAGCCTCTCAGTCCTCAGTGGCCATTTAGTGGGCTTTTGGTACCCCGATGGTAAATGCCCGTGTGAAATCCTTCTATCTGACCGCGCCCCAAGGCAACTCTCGTATACATAATATACTTAAAATCGTCATAAAAACTCATGAACTACTTTTAATGACGTTCATCTCCCTATACTCTTCTTATCTGAGATCGTATCTATTAAATAGGCCCAATTTTAAACATAATTTTAACATTATTATTTCAAAACTATTTAAAACTGAAGAGTTATTACTTAAGACAAAGTTAATGATTACACAGGGCAACAAAAAAATATTTTTTTTTGGTGCCTGGGATTTTAGAGCTGATTTTAACTATATTTGGGACGCTAAATCTGTATATGCAATCCATTTTTCTCTATCAGCTCTACTTTTTTAGATACATCAACTTATCTACCAATGTGGTTTTTATTCAGTATATTCATTTATGAGAGTTCTAAAATTATTATATATTCAATAATGTAGGTACAATGGTTTTATTGTCAGTATTTAATTGAGTAAATTCCAGGTAAATCTATAAATAGTGGAACCATTGCCTATCAGGTACCTGAACTGACCCTTTTAATCCCCTAACTCGGGTAAGTCTCGTCAGTTTGTGCGTTCTTACTAATGAGAGTAGATCGAATTCGGCGTGTTATTTTAGGTTAAAAAAAGAGTGTTTTTGTGTTATTGAACAGAATTAAAATGAGTTCAGGTTCCAGTTCAAGAAGAAGTTGTATAAATCAACCTGATGTGTTTTGCTATATATGCGGAGAATACATGTTTCAATAAAATAGACAAACTATTATTTGGAGTTAACCTTGGTGATCAGGACAAAAAGTGGGCCCCGCATCTCGTATGTAAAACTTGTACAGAGCATTTACGGCAGTGGACTACCGGGAAAAGAAAATGTCTAAAATTCGGTGTACCAATGTTTTGGAGAGAACCAAAAAAGCTCTTCAATGATTGTCATTTCTGTTTAGTAAATACTAAAGGAATCAATCGAAATAACCGCAGTAAGTGAACTTATCCCAATGTATACTCGGCAATACGCCCTATCCCGCACTCAGTTGAAATACCGATTCCAATATTTCATCAGCTACCAGATATCGCTGATAACGAATATTTTCCCTCTGATCGTTGTTCTGATGCTAATGAAACTAACAGTGACTATGAGGAGACGTCATCAGTTCCTCAACGCTTCAAAATGTATTAAATGATCTCACCAGGGATCTCAATTTGTCGAAAAAAGCTTCTAAAGTACTGGCTTCTAAGTTGAACGACAATTTATTGGAACAAAGAACCAAAATTACCTTTTACTGTACAAGAGAAAAGTATCTGCTACCATTATTTTCTCAAGAAGACAATCTTGTATTTTGTCACGAAATTAATGAACTCATGAAAGAAATGGGACGTTCTGAATATATTCCAGATGATTGGCGCCTATTTATTGACAGTTCAAAGCGAAGTTTAAATTGTGTCCTTCTACAAAATGGGAATAAATATGGATCAATACCTCTAGCTCACTCAACGAAACTGAAAGAAGAATATTATACCGTAGCTTTGGTCTTGCAGAAGATAAAGTATCACGAACATCAATGGATGATTTGTATAGACTTTAAAATGGTAAACTTTCTTCTTGGGCAGCAAAGTGGTTACACGAAATATCCGTGTTTCTTGTGCCTCTGAGATAGTAGGGACAAAACACACTACTGGGTTAGAAAAGATTGGCCTCAAAGAGAAAACATGGACGTTGAGGAAAAGAATGTCATTAACGACGCTTTGGTTGAAAGAGAAAAATCATACTTCCTCCGTTACATATAAAGTTGGGCTTAATGAAGCAATTTGTAAAGGCTCTTGATAAGAATAGGTCATGTTTTGCATATAAATGGGTAAAAATGCATCAGTTGAGCACAGAACAACTCAAAGCAGGTATATTTGACGGCCCACAAATAAGACAATTAATTAAGGATCCTGCCTTCATAAATTCAATGAATCAAGTTGAACGAGATGCTTGGACATCATTTGTTGCAGTTGTAGAAAATTTTCTAGGCAAACATAAAGCTCAAAACTATGTTGAAATGCTTAATAGTTTCAAATCCTTAGGGTGCAATATGAGTATTAAAATACACTATTTACACAACCACTTAGACCGTTTTCCAGAAAATTTAGGAGACATGAGTACAAGGTGAAAGATTTCACCAAGATATTTAAGTTATGGAGGACCGCTACCAAGGAAGATGGGACATGCACATGATGGCAGATTACTGCAGGAGTTTGAGTGACTATTTGATTTCTTCAATATTTTTTTGTTTGTAAGTACGACATTGTATTTTGTATAACTAAAATAAAAATTTCGTATCTACTTTTGTTTACTACACTTACGGATTTGAGTTAAAATAATGTAACTTATATTTCTCTAAAATTGTATATCTTAAAAATTTGAGCTCCTAGGTAAAAATGAATTCGTTATTTGAATTCAGGACATCAAATTGATATAGAATCAGCTCAAAAAACCTCGACACCATAACAGCTGTTCCCCTGTGTTATCATCAAGATGACCTCATAGCAAATTAGATGGTCAACCTTTTTATTAATAAAGTTTATACGTAAACACAAAGAAATCGGGCTCAATTACAAAAAGCGATTTTTGAACAAAAGAAATGTAAAAGAAAAACTTTTTCAAATACTTAAATATATAACTATAAATAAGGGATTTGTAAAAATCAGTGAGGTACCACAAAATTTTTCCGATGATATGTGTAACTACTGTTCCAAACCTACGTCACTACATAGTTTGGACAAATTATTTTTTTAGAGAAAACTTGTAAATAATAAATAATTGTCGCTAATTTTCTATGAGGAATTAACCTGTCTTCTGAGGGACGAGAATTTTGGAGACTTCCTGTAGGTATTGAAAATCATTTTAAGAGGCAAATTAATTGTTTTCTTATCTATTTGTGCAGATGATAAGATAAATATTATTAAACTATGAAGTACATACCTATTTGTATGTATTACAATGTACCTATCCGTTGTGACGATTTAAGTCAATTGATCAATATTTATTACAACACATTCTACTACTATAAAATTATTGGTATAAAGTATATGAACGAGGAGACTCAATACAGAACCTTGGGATACTCTTTGAGTGGTTATATTTTGTATTTTATTAATGAAGTGTTCAGTTTCATACTAAAGAGTAAATTACAAAAAGAACCAAACATTTAAATGTGCATTGTTTTAAAAACGAACGAATATCAATAATAATCTAAAAATTTAATAGGTTCATGAGAAGGCAATAAATTCTTTCAGATATTATCAGAAGAAATGTCTATAATTACATCAAGAAGTTAATTTCTTATCACTAATAATAGAATTGGAACCTACGGCATACATCATTGTCTGCAATCATAAATTCGTTTCTGTCCATCACAAAGTTACACTAAACTTCACAAATCAACGATAATGACCAAAATTAACTAATCATTACTTGAATTTTTTGAAAAGGATCGTTTACCGACCTTCCTTTGAACCTACACGAGACTTTTATAAACGAAGACTAAGAAATATTAAAAGCAGTTTTGTTATTGTAGTATCCATTATCAGTAGTAGCAGCGGCGGTTCCTATAGAAGGAGCGGAGGATATTTTGTGTTTTGTAGTACCAGTTTTAATAAATTATTTAGATATTTTTTTTTAAAGAAAATAAAAATCTAAATTATTTTTCCATCGGATCTAGGGGGAATTATTATAGGAGAAAAATGATAGGTTATTAATTGTTAATTGCCAGATCAATATTGGTTTGCCGCGGTTTTACACACCCTTTAAAATAACGACACACTTCTCGTACAACAATTTTAAACAATTAAATATAAGTTCCCTGTTGATATCGGTCATAGTTTTTATTTAAAGAGTACGATATATGTATGTTTCGGATATTTTTCCATCTGAAACCCCATATTTTTGTTTCACGTCGTGTATATCTGTTTATCCTTGTTCAACAAACAATTTTAATGTTTATTCCTGTCCCTGTACTGGAGTCTCGTAAAAATCAAGGGTACAAGTCCGTAGCCAGGGAGGGATCAAAGGGGATTGATCCCCTCCGAAATAAAAAAGATATTTATTTTAGACTTTTAATAAGTATTAATGAGACTGCAGTTATATACAGTGCGCCCGTCTCACTTTGTTGTTATACACAACAATAGTTAATCACTACAAACAAAATTATCTACCTACTGTTATTTTTATTATGTATGACTTTATGCTCGCTTGGTATTCCCACGACGATACTTAAATAGCGGCGCAGCGACATCTATTAGAGAGCGGCGAAACTACGTGCTACGCCAACTACACAAGCAACGCAACTTCGGGGACGTGCTGGAACTGCATTTCGACAATATTCAATAAGCATAGAATGAGACGGGCTATTTTCGATGTTTCATTGCGCCGCGTCTGCGGAATATATAAGCAAGCCGTCGAGCACGGAGAGGCAGTTCTGTCTTGGAAAGTGATCCAAGACGATGCGATTAAGGCGATAAAAGCACAGTAATAGTGCAGTGTGTGAAATAATAGTGCTGTGAATTAGTATTGAAGTAAGTGGTGTTATAATTTTTTTTAATTTAAATTAAAATTAAAAGAATTTGATGCCTAAGAGTAGACTACCTACTCGTATTCATTTTCTTTTAAATCTTTAGCGAAGTAAATATTTGTGTACAAATGGATTTAATACTTGGCTGTTTATTTAATTGTTACAGGTCGGTTCAACATTTGAAATGGCAAAAAGGACGCAAGAAAATACAATATTTAAATATTTATTTAAAAAATCTAAACCTGGTTCTACTGAAAATCAGTGTTCAAGTGTTTTCGACAGTGATACTGCCTCAAGTAGTTCTGGTACTTCTGCTGCCGTTCCTGGGACTGTGGATGTTGTTTCTCAGCATGTTTTAGATGTGCGCTATTATACGGGATCAAACACCAAAATTGGTGATGATTTAAAGTACAGATTGTTGAAATCTCTTTGGATGCCAGAAAAGACATTTAAGTTTCCAGTAAGTGACGATAAAAGAAAGCTAAAATTTAAAATGCAATGGTTTGAACGGTTCTGGAGGTTGGTTTACACGAGTACAGGGCAACAAGGTGCTTTGTGCAAATATTGTGTATTATTTGCCAGAGATTGCGTAGGTAAAGGCTCTCATCAGCAGTTGAAATCCTTAGTTTCTCAGCCGCTTACTAAATGGAAAGATGCTGTACATGATTTCAAACATCACAGTGAAAGCCAGTACCACAAATCTTTTGCATTATTGGCTGATAATTTTATGAAGGTGTATAATAAATCTCAACCAAATATAATAATTCAGATTGATAGCGGATACCTAGCGTAAATAGCTGAAAATCGCAAAATGGCTCATTCCGATTATTAAAACAATTAAATTATGTGGACGTCAAGAATTGCCCCAGAGGTACGTGCGACTCAGGTCCAATAAAAATTAATGTTGCTGAGCCAGAAACAAATGATGGGAACTTTCGTGCTATCTTACGAATAAGAAGCAGATGTGTAGACTCAAATCTAATAAAGCACACAGAAAATATGACGCTGAACGCTACCTTCCTAAGCCCGACCATACAAAATGAACTTATTGCAATTTGTGGTGAAATAATCCAGTAAAAATTGTGCGAAATTTTTTTCAATCCTTGTCGACGAAACTACTGATGTTTCACGACAAGAACAGATGTCCATTTGTCTAAGATATTCCGAGCCAAAAGATAATGGTTTTTACTTGCGTGAAGATTTTTTAACTTTTGTAATAGTTGAGAAAGGAAGATATTTAGCTAATGCAATTTTATCTGAATTAAAATCTTTGGGAGTAGATTGCGAATATTTATGAAAGGAGCTGCGTGCAGGCAGTAATTCGTGAGTCACATCCAGAAGCCTTATACGTTAATTGCAGCTCACATTCATTGAATTTAGCTCCGGGCCATTCTTGACAAGTTCAGCCTATTCGAAATACTATTGGAATTATAAAATTGGTTGAAAATTTTATCAAGTCCTCGGCAAAACGAACCAAGCGTTTAAAAGATAATATCGAAAAAACTTCCCTGAAACACAATGGAAAAACCTTACGGCAATGTGCTGGGTAGAAAATCATGATGAGTTGTTAGGATTTAAAGAAATGTATAAAGCAACAATAGTTAATAAACTAGACGACTTAAGCACTGACATGGTTTCTGAAACATCGTCAAAGGCTAATTCTTTTCTGAGATCAATCATTTCAAGTGATTTTGTTGCTTAGGAATGTTGTTCCCGTACACACTGATACTATGCAAAATACGCCCCTATGCGATTTGGCAGCAGCTTTACAACATGTCGATTTAATTACAAAGGCTATTGAAGATATTCGCCAAAATATTGATTCTAAATTTGCTGAACTTTTCAAGAATGTACAGAATTTGCCCAGTACTGTAAACGAGGAAATGAAAATTCCGCGAATAACGTCACGCCAGGAGCATAGGGCAAACTACAACACAAAAGATCCTAAAACTTATTTTAGAATTACTACAATGATTCCACTTTTGGATGATTTCATTGAGATTCCAAAATCATAAAGCCACATTATCATCTCTCAACATTTTAATTCCGTCTGTGTGTTGCAAAGAACAAATTATTCAAAATTATCAAGAAAACTACTTTGAGCTCTAAAAAAATATTTGGAATGGGACTTTGTAAAAGCTGAATTAGACATGTGGCGGATAAAATGGGTGGAAAAATCTGAACTAGATCGACCAACATGTGCTATTGAAGCTCTCGGAGAATGCAAGCAGGCCTTATTTCCAAACATTCAAAAACTTTTAAAAATCTTGGCGACATTGCCTGTTTCTACATGTACTCCTGAGAGGACTTTCTCTTCTATGAAACGCCTCAAAACTTATTTGAGAAACTTCACAGGCCAGGAAAGATTAAACGGTTTGGTGTTAATGCCAATCCACCGCAGAATTGACATCGACACCGAGGAGTTAATTGATTTGTTCGCTGCAAAGAAAGCTAGAAGACTAAATTTAATTTTGTAATAAGGTGTTAATATTTCTGTTGGTTTTCTAATAAATATATATAATAAGTAACACCATTTTATTTCTTTTATTAAAACGATTTTTTTTATGTTTTTGTACTGTTCCACCAAATCAACCCCCCCCCCCCCGAAATTATTTTCTGACTACGGCCTTGCAAGGGTACTCTACCTAATACTCCTGCGTTATGGTGTATTAGACTACTAGTACAATCCATAACCTACACAGAACACGAGGCTAATGACCTTAGTTGTTAAAGCCAGACACCAAAAAAAAAACAGATTTATAGAAATATTATAATTTGAAGAATCGTTGAGTTGAAGAAGTAAAATAAAGAGATTGAGTTAAAAATGTAAATGGAATTTTATTTTTTCGAAGATGAGAGTAGCAGGAAGGATATAATTACCAGATGAAATCTTCTCTTTATAAAACAATCCGGATAAAATCGAGACGTTATAAAATTTCCGAAAAAGTAAGAAATGTGATAATTTTCACATTATTTACTTAATGACATATTTTACTAAAAAAACAAAAATAAAAACATTTTTATTTCATAAACACCAAAAATATTTTCAACACTCTGCCTTTGATTTTGCCCACTAAGGAGAAAGTCATTCAGCAATAAATGGAAATTCTCAACTCCAGTCTCTAATGGAGTCAGATTGAGATATGAATTTCGATCGAACTCAATTACGCGGGTTGAGCATAAGCACGAGCGAAAGAGGTATCGCCATCTATACTTAGTAAGCAAAATCAAAAATTACATGTAGTGGATATCCACCATGGTTTGCGTTCGCGCCTAGACTTTGATATATTTAGTGGATGTCCATGGGATATTGAATATACCTTAAAAAAATTAATTTTAAATATCTGAACGGTACTATTAGGCACAATGGCGAGCACAATGGCGTAATTTTTTAATAATTTGCTATATAATTACTATTATTTATGGACATTTGCATGTCTATAAATTACATCTCATGGATATAAAATAGATATCCACCATGGACTGGACATTCAGTGGATATTGGGATGTCCACTAAATATCCAAAGGATTTGGTGTGCTGTCTGGGTATGCAAAACCCGCCCTGATACACCCAGACGTACTAAAAACCTGGACAAATCCAGGCAAATCCGGACGTCTGGTAACCCTAAGGAAGGAGAGTTAAGAGTATGAGCTGGTAAGCAGAGGTAAAGATATTGTAATAAAGGTGAAGCTCAGACAGGGACACTGGCCCAGACGATAGACTAAGTGGAGACAAGGAGCTAGCAGGAAATTGAGAAGAGAAGACTGAAGATGATGATTTTTTTTATTTTTCAATTTCGTATAAAATATGTGTGAATTTTGTGAGTCGAATAACCCTCTTTGAGAGTCTTAAAAAATCATTATAAAATAAAACAGGTGTCGGCCATTTGAAAATGGCGTCTAAAACACACGGTTCAGAAAATGGTGATGTCTCCCCAACTTTTTCTGACTCTTTTATATGTACTTAACTCTGTTGGTTAAACAAATCAGTATTAAAAATTTTACGGGACTCTAGTAATAGTTGTTGAAGCTATGAAGACTAGAGAGAAGAAAGCGAATCCGCATACCCGAAATACTGTCCCAAATAACGAACGCTAATTGAGCTTTTACAACTTACCGCAGGAGCGCTGTGAGAATTTTCATAATTTTATGAAAATAATAAAACTAAGTAAAGCAGAGAAAATATTGTATGTATTTACCTCTAAATAAGTCTTGCATGTTTTAATTGATAAATTAGTTAATTTTATCTTTATAAAATGCAAATTAGGTATGATCAAATTCGAAAAGGTTTGTTAAATGGTGCAATTTGGTAAATACAATTTTGTGAATATTTTTATTTTTTGAATTATACCTAAATATAGTTTTAAGAGCAAAATAAAACACAGTTAACAGATTTTTTTATTTGGAAATATCTTCTAAAAGGTGTAGCTCACAAACAGCATGATCCTTAGAAAGTGCTTCATCAGCACTAAGAATGATATGCTGCCACTGTTCTAAACGTTTAGTATCCTATAAAAAACATTTACAATGACAAAATTGGGGTTCAACAAAAAAATTACAAACTCTTCATCTAACATCAAAACTGAAGAAAAATGTTATTTTCTTATAAGTTAAATTTAATGTGTAATTATTGTTGTTTGTAAGTCAGGATTTATGACTTGATTATAGAAATTTGTAATAAAATAAACTACACTCCGTACGATACGGGTCGCGACTAGTTTACAATAAATATTATAGGTATCTAAAAATAAATACATTATTTTACTTACACTAGGAGCTTTAATACGACTTTGAATCGATTTATATGCCGTTTTTTAACCTGGAACGAAGTAAATATCACTCATGTTATTTGTGTTTAGGTACTTTTTCACATTATTTTGATTCTTTTCAACAATTAAAAAAAAATCACAATATTTATTGACTTCCATAGAAAATTAACGTAACTAACGCCAACTAAACTAAACTTTATAAAAAAAAAGAACCTAAATTTAAAATTTGACCATTGCCGATTCGCCTCCTTCTCTTTAGTTTTCATAGTTGAAGTATATAATACTATAAGAAGAAGGTATGATATTGAGCAGATTTGTAACACGTGACAGTGACGTACTGTGGTGCGGAGGTAGAGCTTTCATTCACTGGTCGACGATTGACACACAAAGTTTGTTTACATTGATATTTGACTCGTTATAAAATAGTTTAACTTTCCCATCCTGACTCCATAAGAACTGTATAAAAACATAATCCTATTGAATAGAGATAATTAGAATAATACGTTACCGTTTACGGACCGCAATATTCCATGCTTAATATCGAAAGGGCATGGTTATACCAATTTAGCTCCTCTTTATTTCTTCTACCGTCAAATTATAATTTAGTGTCTCATCGTTATATTGCTTGATGCGTCGGTTAACGCACTGTGTAGCAATTTTATTAAGAACTGTCCGTTTGTGCTTCTGTTTCAAGTTTTCAACGGTTGACAGCATTATTTGAAGGTTATGTAAAGAATCTTATGTTAACTTGTAAAGTTTTTAACCATTCGTCCAAAAGAAGTGTAATACGTTAAAAATACAATTACTACGCATGGTGATTTGTTATTAATATATTTGTGAAGTATTTTTAACAAAAACCAAACATGCCATTAACTTTCATAGTAGTAAATTGTAGGAGCAGAGCTGATAGGGATCTGTATATTTTTTTTTTTTTTTAGTTCGAACAACAAAATTTCTACATGCAAACGATTTATCAGCTAAAAGGAGACAATGATGATGAACGAATTAATATAGAGCAAAATCA